GTGTGTGTGTGTGTGTGTGTGTGTGTGTGTGTGTGTGTATCTCCTATCATATACCATCATATGCTTCTTTGCAGAAATAAGAGTATAGAAGTTCTTGAAAAGATTTTTTATATCAGACCTACTGCTAAGGCAGAAGTAAATCAGTTGTGTCTTGTGGTAGAGGTGTGTGCTGTGCTGTTAGTGTCTGCGTTCAGAACATAAGAATTTATATACCTATGAGCAAAGTGGAGGCAGCTGCCATCTGTTGTTTTGTGTTTGTTTGTTTTTTTCCGAAAATCATTGATAATACAACTAGTCTTGTATCTTAATTTAAGATATAAAAGTAATTGACTGACTATAGGATAGATTGTTCACAGTCCTAGAGGTTAATGATAGTTAATTTTCCACTGTATATTATCTAACAGGTTACTATCAGAGTGGCCTAAGCCATACCTTTGAAGTGTCATTGGCAAGAATTGGTATGAGCATAGGAGGGCAGGGTGAGCTGGGCTATGGGTTGTGCTGCAGGCTCCTGCCTGCGGCCCCAGCAGGTTTACAGGCCTCTAGCAGGGGTGGGTGGGAGGTGGGAGGGAGCGGAGAAGTGTGGGGAGCCTGGACAGTCCTTGCCCAAAAGATTCAAAACTTTTGAAATGCAAACTCCTCCAGGGACGACGCAGTGCCTTGCTTTCTAGTCCCATGACCGCATTTACCGAGCAGTAAGGTGAAGTCCAGGGCATAGGGACGTGCCCGGGCCAGGTGGCTTGTTGCAGGCAGAGCTGTCTCTGCAGTGCCCCCTCTACATGTTACCGAAGCAAAGTGGATTCCACTCCGCTTTTACCGCGTGTGCAGAGAGGTTAAAGCTGCAGCTGAATCAAGCATCTTCCCGGTGCTGCACAGGCGCAGGCGAGGTTCCTGTTGCCACTTTCTTGGAAGAAGGGTAATGATTACCTTGGCTTGGCTGAGCTCCGGGCTTGTCTGCAGTAGGGACTCTGGTTGTTGGGACACGTCTGAAGCTGAGTGTAGCTCTCCTGTGGTTTCCTTGAGAAACACTTCCTGTTACGTTTAGACCATTCTTCCCCCCGGGTTTTATCGCTCGCGACTGTACTGTCATTTTTAAACGTGACATGCACCTTTAGTCATGGCTATTTAGAACTGGGAAGGTCTTAAGCCACCGTCATCTGTCTTGGTTCCAAACCTCGGGAAGGTGCCGTTGGCCTAGTCGCCTGGGCACTGGTCTCCCTGGGCACCAGTCTCCTTGGGCACTGGTCTTCCTGGGCACCGGTCTCCCCTGGGCACCGGTCTCCGTGGGCACTGGTCTCTGTGGGCACTGGTCTCCCTGGGCACCGGTCTCCCTGGGCACCGGTCTCCCTGGGCATCGGTCTCCCCTGGGCACCGGTCTCCCTGGGCACTGGTCTCCCCTGGGCATCGGTCTCCCCTGGACACCAGTCTCTGTGAGCACCAGATCTCCCTGGGCACTCGTCTCTCTGGGCACCGATCTCCCTGGTCACCGATCTCCCTGGGCACCGGTCTCCCTGGGCACCAGTCTCTCCTGGGCACCGGTCTCCGTGGGCACTGGTCTCTGTGGGCACTGGTCTCCCTGGGCACCGGTCTCCCTGGGCATCGGTCTCCCCTGGGCACCGGTCTCCCTGGGCACCGGTCTCCCTGGGCATCGGTCTCCCCTGGGCACCGGTCTCCGTGGGCACTGGTCTCTGTGGGCACTGGTCTCCCTGGGCACCGGTCTCCCTGGGCATCGGTCTCCCCTGGGCACCGGTCTCCGTGGGCACTGGTCTCTGTGGGCACTGGTCTCCCTGGGCACCGGTCTCCCTGGGCATCGGTCTCCCCTGGGCACCGGTCTCCGTGGGCACTGGTCTCTGTGGGCACTGGTCTCCCTGGGCACCGGTCTCCCTGGGCATCGGTCTCCCCTGGGCACCGGTCTCCCTGGGCACCGGTCTCCCTGGGCATCGGTCTCCCCTGGGCACCGGTCTCCGTGGGCACTGGTCTCTGTGGGCACTGGTCTCCCTGGGCACCGGTCTCCCTGGGCATCGGTCTCCCCTGGGCACCGGTCTCCGTGGGCACTGGTCTCTGTGGGCACTGGTCTCCCTGGGCACCGGTCTCCCTGGGCATCGGTCTCCCCTGGGCACCGGTCTCCGTGGGCACTGGTCTCTGTGGGCACTGGTCTCCCTGGGCACCGGTCTCCCTGGGCATCGGTCTCCCCTGGGCACCGGTCTCCCTGGGCATCGGTCTCCCCTGGGCACCGGTCTCCCTGGGCATCGGTCTCCCCTGGGCACCGGTCTCCCTGGGCATCGGTCTCCCCTGGGCACCGGTCTCCCTGGGCATCGGTCTCCCCTGGGCACCGGTCTCCCTGGGCATCGGTCTCCCCTGGGCACCGGTCTCCCTGGGCATCGGTCTCCCCTGGGCACCGGTCTCCCTGGGCACTGGTCTCCCCTGGGCACCAGTCTCCCTGGGCACTCGTCTCCCTGGGCACTGGTCTCCCTGGGCACTCGTCTCCATGGGCACTGGTCTCCGTGGGCACCGGTCTCCCCTAGGCACTTGTCTCCCTGGGCACTCGTCTCTCTGGGCACCGATCTCCCTGGGCACTCGTCTCCCTGGGCACCAGTCTCCCTGGGCACCGATCTCCCTGGGCACTCGTCTCCCTGGGCACCAGTCTCCCTGGGCACCGATCTCCCTGGGCACTCGTCTCCCTGGGCACCAGTCTCCCTGGGCACCGATCTCCCTGGGCACTCGTCTCCCTGGGCACCAGTCTCCCTGGGCACCGATCTCCCTGGGCACTCGTCTCCCTGGGCACCAGTCTCCCTGGGCACCGATCTCCCTGGGCACTCGTCTCCCTGGGCACCAGTCTCCCTGGGCACCGATCTCCCTGGGCACTCGTCTCCCTGGGCACCAGTCTCCCTGGGCACCGATCTCCCTGGGCACTCGTCTCCCTGGGCACCAGTCTCCCTGGGCACCGATCTCCCTGGGCACTCGTCTCCCTGGGCACCAGTCTCCCTGGGCACCGATCTCCCTGGGCACTCGTCTCCCTGGGCACCAGTCTCCCTGGGCACCGATCTCCCTGGGCACTCGTCTCCCTGGGCACCAGTCTCCCTGGGCACCGATCTCCCTGGGCACTCGTCTCCCTGGGCACCAGTCTCCCTGGGCACCGATCTCCCTGGGCACTCGTCTCCCTGGGCACCAGTCTCCCTGGGCACCGATCTCCCTGGGCACTCGTCTCCCTGGGCACCAGTCTCCCTGGGCACCGATCTCCCTGGGCACTCGTCTCCCTGGGCACCAGTCTCCCTGGGCACCGATCTCCCTGGGCACTCGTCTCCCTGGGCACCAGTCTCCCTGGGCACCGATCTCCCTGGGCACTCGTCTCCCTGGGCACCAGTCTCCCTGGGCACCGATCTCCCTGGGCACTCGTCTCCCTGGGCACCAGTCTCCCTGGGCACCGATCTCCCTGGGCACTCGTCTCCCTGGGCACCAGTCTCCCTGGGCACCGATCTCCCTGGGCACTCGTCTCCCTGGGCACCAGTCTCCCTGGGCACCGATCTCCCTGGGCACTCGTCTCCCTGGGCACCAGTCTCCCTGGGCACCGATCTCCCTGGGCACTCGTCTCCCTGGGCACCAGTCTCCCTGGGCACCGATCTCCCTGGGCACTCGTCTCCCTGGGCACCAGTCTCCCTGGGCACCGATCTCCCTGGGCACTCGTCTCCCTGGGCACCAGTCTCCCTGGGCACCGA